GACTATTATTATTAATTATTATTATTAAACTTTATTTGTACCCCGCTAGCATCTCCCGAAGGACTCGATGCGGCTTACAAAGGCCAAGGCCTCAACACACAACATAACAATACACTTAAAGCAAAATTAAAACAATTAAAGCAGTATTAAAACAACAAACCACAAGCAATAAACAGTACATCAACAAGATAAAACTGGGCCGGGCCAGAGTAAAAGAGTACAGAATTAAAAAGTGCTGGTGTGACAGGTGATATTGTAGGACAAGTGCAGTGTGCAGTGTGCGGCAGTCTTAATTCTAATAAAGTGCTTCTGGGACTTGGTAATGGAGATTTCCTAATCGGGAAAGGCACATCGGAACAGCCAGGTCTTCAAGTTCTTTCTGAAGACTGCCAATGTAGGGGCCTGTCTAAGATCTTTGGGGAGAGTGTTCCAGAGATGGGGGGCCACCACGGAAAAGGCCCTGTCTCGTGTCCCCACCAAACGTGCTTTCGATGCAGGCAGGATCACGAGCAGGGCCTCTCCAGATGAGTGTAATGAACGCGTGGGTTCGTAGACGGAGATGCGGTCACGCAGGTAGGCTGGTCCCAAACCGTTCAGGGCTTTGTAGGTAAGCACCTGCACCTTAAATTGGGCTCGGAAGATAAACGGCAGCCAGTGGAGCTCCTTGAACAGGAGGGTTGACCTCTCTCTGTAGGGAGCGCCAGTTAACATCCTGGCCGCTGCTCGTTGGACACATTGGAATTTCCGAGCCGTTTTCAAGGGCAGCCCCATGTAGAGTGCATTACAGTAATCCAACCTAGAGGTGACCAAGGCAGGACCACTCCGGCCAGATCAGCCTTCGCGAGGTACGGTCGCAGTTGGCGCACGGGTCTTAGTTGTGCGAAAGCCCTCCCAGACACCGCCAACGCCTGAGCCTCAAACGTGAGCGATGAATCCAGGAGGACTACTGCAACGCACCCTACGTGGGGTTGCCCTTGAAGACTGTTCGGAAAATTCAACTGGTCCAGCGAGCGGCAGCCAGATTGCTCACCGGAGCGACATACAGGGAGCACGCCACCCCCTCTGCTGTGCCAGCTCCACTGGCTGCCGATTCAGTTCCGAGCACAATTCAAGGTGCTGGTTTTGACCTACAAAACCCTGTACGGTTCCGGTCCAGTGTATCTGTCCAAACGTCTCTACGTCCCACCCCGGAATTTGAGATCATCTGGGGAGGCCCTGCTCTCGACCCCACCGCTATCACAAGTGAGGCTGGTGGGGCCGAGGAGCAGGGCCTTCTCAGTGGTGGCCCCTCACCTGTGGAACTCACTCCCGGGGGAAATCAGGGCATCAACATCCCTCCTCTACCTTCAGGAGGAAGGTAAAGACGTGGTTGTGGGACCAGGCCTTTGGGCAATCTGACAACTAGATATGGACAACCAGATGGATAGGACTGAAAGGACTGACAATTGTGGAATTGGAATTTGAACTATGGTAGGGACAATCCTCCGTCATCCCATGTTTTCATCTGTTTTTAAGTCACTTCTAGTCACTTAGGCGCTGTCTTCATAGACCTGTCAGCAGCTTATGACATTGTAAATCATCGGCTTCACCTGAGAAAAACTTATAATATCACAAAGGACGACCACCTCACTTGCTTCATAGGAAACATGCTACAAAACAGGAGCTTTTTTGTTGAGTTCCAAGGCCAGAGAAGCAGATAGCGGAAACAGAAGAACGGCCTACTCCAGAGGAGCGTGCTTGCTCTATCAATGTTCAACATTTACACAAATGACCAGCCACTATGGGACGGGAAAGAGGGTTTAATCTATGCTGACGATCATGCCATCACCACCCAAGCAGAGAGATTTGAAATGGTTGAACAGAAGCTTTCCAAAGCTTTAGGTGCTCTTGCCTATTAAAGGGAAAAATAACTGATTCCTAATCCATCTAAAATGCAGACATGTGCTTTCCATCTTAAGAACAGACATGCATCTTGAGCTCTGAGGATGACCTGGGAAGGAATACTCCTGGAGCACTGCAGCACACCCAAATACCTGGGAGTTTCTCTGGACCGTGTTTTGACCTACAACTAGTACTGCTTGACTATCAAGAAAAAGTGGGTGCTAGAAATAACATCATAAAAAAGCTGACTGGCACAACTTGGGGATCACAACCAGACACAGTGAAGACATCTGCCCTTGTGCTTGGTTACTCTGCTGCTGAATATGCATGCCCAGTGTGGAACACATATCACCACACTAAAACAATGGACATGGCTCTTAATGAGACATGCCGCAATATCACAAGATGTCTACGTCCTAAAACACTGAGAAATTGCACTATTTAGCTGGTACTGCGCCACCTGACATTCTCCGGGAAGTAGCAGCCTATAATGAAAGGACCAAGGCAGTGACATCTCCAGCCCATCCCCTGTTCGGATATCAGCCAGCATGCCAATACTTTAAATCAAGAAATAGTTTTCTAAGATCTACAGAGATACTTGCAGGAGCACCTCAGCAAGCAAGAGTCCAAAAGTGGCAGGCTCAAACCCAGAACCTCAATCATGTGAAAGACTCCCTCCTGGGCACACAGAAGACTGGCCAACTTGGAAGGTGCTGAACAGACTGAGCTCTGGCACCACGAGATGCAGAGCCAAATTTAAGAAAGGAGGCCACAAAGTGGAGTCCACGACATGGGAGTGTGGAGGAGAGCAAAGCACAGACCCCCTATTACAATGCGGTCTGAGCCCTGCCACAATGCACAATGGAGGACCTTCTCACAGCCACACCAGAGGCACTCCAAGTGGCCAGCTACTGCTCAAAGGATGTTTAGTAGGCTTGGGCAATCCATGGTTCTAAATGGTTCTAAAGTACTTACAAAACTAAAGTTCTGGTGGTGAAAATTTCAGAACTCTAACAAAACTCTCAAAATTTCATAATAAATGGCAGTTCCTAATTGGTTCTGTCATTAAAATCACCAATAATGAAATAATAATTAAATTTTGAAAGTTTTGTTAGAGTTCTCAAATTTTCACCACCAGAACTTTAGTTTTGTAAGTACTTTAGAACCATTTAGAACCATGGATTGCCCAGGCCTAATGTTTAGTATCATGCCAAGTTTTTTAAACTTTGTGTTTTTAAATACATTACAACTGTACCCTCGGTTTGTTTCTGATATAATAAATAAATTCTGCTTTTAAAATGCCCTGGTTTCTCTCTCCTCTACCCATTCCCCCCTTTGTCCTCAGCTTGCTTCAGCTGCTGCAAATTGCTGCTCGGTGCAATAATAAGGATGTATCTACTGCAGAATTAATGCAGTTTGACGCCACTTGAACCGCTATGGCTCAAAGCTATGGAGTCACGGGAGTTGCCGTTTTATGTGGCCCTGGAGACTAGGATGCATTATCTGCCCAAGAGTGCACCAAACTGCAACTCCCAGGATTCCACAGCATGGAGGCTTGGCATGTAAAGTGGAGTTACAATATGAATGGGTTCCTGAGTTAATACAAACAACACAATAGCCCGCTTGTACACAGAAAGAAAAAGAAATCAATTCGGTCACTCAAAAAAGTATCAACACCCCAGAAACTTGGAAAATGTTATAAAAATATAAATAATAAATGTTGGAAATGCGGGAAGACAAAAGGGACGTACTTCCATATGTGGTGGTCGTGTACCAAGGCTAAGACATATTGGAGAAAAATACAGAAGACACTACAGGAAATATTAAATATAAGAATTCCATTTGAACCAGAAATATTCCTATTCGGAATAACAGACCAAGAAATAGAGAAGAATACAGACAAAATCCTCTTTCGGCTAAATACAGCAGCGAGAATTTGCTATGCGAAATTATGCAAAAAGAAGACATACCAGAAATTAGTGATTGGATAGAAAAAGTAGAAGATATCAAAAACATGGACACGTTAACATATTTAATAACAAAAAATAAAGGGACCCCAATAAAAGAGACTGACTGGACGAAGGTAACAAACTACCTAAAACAAAGAAATGGATACACAATAATATGAAGGGAAGAGAAAACAAGACTGAAGAATGAGAGGAGAAGAAAGAAAGAAGAGGAAAAACCACCAGAAAGATACTCAGGAAGTCAACAAAGGAGCCATAACATTCTGCCCCTATTTTATTTCTTTTTTATTATTATCATTACTTATTTTTGTTCTTTTTGTATTGGCCTATCTATCTTTTTCCTATTTTCACTTCTAATTTATTTATTTGTTTTTGCACTATTTTTCTGCACTATTTTTTTCTCTGCACAAAATGGAAAAAAATCTGCTTTTCAATAAAGATAATTATTTTTTTAAAAAAGTATCAACACTGTATGTTCTTGCGTCGAGTCGAACTTAAATCCGTAGTCCATGACCGGTTTCGGCCTTACTCCAGGCCTTCCTCTGGTGGACTAAAATTATATATATATCAGTGTTGATACTGTTTTGAGTGACTGTACCAAACGCATATAATTTTGTTTTGTGAATGCTGTAATTTGGAACTGTATAATAAGTTTCACCAGTCACATTACTGGCTGAATTGATTTATTTTTCTTTCTGTGTAAAAAGGGAGAAGGTAGTCCCCTGACATTAAGTCCAGTCATGTCTGACTCTGGGGTGTGGTGCTCATCTCCATTTCTAAGCCGAAGAGCCAGCGTTGTTCGTAGACACCTCCAAGGTCATGTGGCCGGCATGACTGCATGGAGCGCCCTTACCTTCCCGTCGGAGCGGTACCTATTGATCTACTCACATTTTGCATGTTTTCGAACTGCTAGGTTGGCAGAAGCTAGGGCTGACAGCGGTAGCTCACGCCGCTCCCCGGAATCGAACCTGCAACCTTTCGATCAACAAGCTCAGCAGCTCAGTGCTTTAACCCACTGCGCCATCGGGGGCCGTTCTTTCTGTGTACAAGTGGGCTATTGTGTTGTACGTAAAGTGGACTTAACAGTGTAGATGAACACCAGGTGATCTCCTAAAAATGGATGCAAAACCCAATAGCTCAGCACTCCTTTACCTTGGGGTTCGGGCTCAGGCTCCGATGGGTCCACCAGCTCCTTCCCCAGGGCGTCAATCGGGGTCTCGGTCTCAGGCGTCTCAAAGTTGCCTTCCGAATCCGAACTGCCAAGAAGGAGGGGAGAGAAGGACAGATGAAACCCTTCCAAACACGTTCCTTGAGTATACATTCCATCAGCAGGCTTTCAGCACTGTCGGAATGTTTCTTGTCTGGAGTTCCCCTGTGTTTGAGTCTTGGTTGTTAACCGGGGCTCCTCCCAGACTGCAGTCAGGTAATTTTCAGTTCAGGTTCAGGTCTTTCATAACTGTTGTGAGGGAAAGTGAGGAGAGTAGCGCAGAAATCTGAGTGTTAGCATACTTAAGCTGGCATCCCAGCTACTTTGACTGTTCTTGTGGAGAGAAGGGGGGGGGGTAATAAATCATCATCATCATCCCATTAGTGACTTAGACCGGGACAGTTTAGGGATTCTGTTAGTGTACCGTCCACCTCGCTGCACTACGGACTCCCTGACTGAGCTAGCGGGGGTGGTCTCGGACCTGGCGTTGGAGTCCCAACGGCTACTTGTGCTGGGGGACTTCAACGTCCACGCCGAGGCCATCTTATCGGGAGTGGCTCAGGACTTCATGTCTGCCATGGCAACCATGGGGCTGTCCCAACAGGTATCTGGCCCCACCCACAGTGCTGGACATACACTGGACTTGGTTTTCTGTCAGGGATGGGAGGAAGGTGGCGGTGTTGAGGAGTTATCCATCTCTCCGTTGCCATGGACCGACCACCACCTGGTCAGCTTTAGACTCACTGCACCCCCTAACCTCCGCAGAGGTGGAGGACCCATTAAGTTGGTCCGCCCCAGGAGGCTTATGGATCCGGATGGATTCCTGACAGTTCTTGTACAGGGAGCGGTCATCCCTCCTGTTCAAGGAGCTCCACTGGCTGCCATTCATTTACCGGACCCAATTCAAGGTGCAGGTTCTCACCTACAAAGCCCTGAACAGTTTGGGTCCCGCCTACCTGCGTGACCACATCTCTGTATACAAACCCACACGATCCCTTCGATCTTCCGGAGAGGCCCTGCTCACAATCCCACCAGCATTGCAGGCGCGATTGGTGGGACGAGAGACAGCGCCTTCTCGGTGGTGGCCCCTCAACTCTGGAACTCTCTCCCTAAAGACATCAGACAGGCCCCAACCTTGGCAGTCTTTAGGAGGAGCTTGAAGACGTGGTTGTTCCAGTGTGCCTTCCCAGAATAATGGCCAGACAGCCTGAAAAACCTCCAATGACCCAGTGATTCCGGCTGTGAAAGCCTTCAACAATGCAATGTACCAAATGTTTGCATGGGAAAGAAGGAAAGGCCAGTACACGGTGAAAGGATGCAAGCTCACCTTGGGTATGTTTTCCCCTTCCTTCCTTCCTTCCTTCCTTCCTTTTTTCTTTCTCCTTCCTTCCTTCCCTCCTTCCCAAAGAGTTCTCCTTTCCCTTGCCAAGTGCTGAATGAGTCAAAACATTTGCTTCCTTTGCCCAAATGCAGGGTTTTTTGGCTGAGCCACCTCTTAGGACAAGTTCCAGCTGTTTAGCACAGCAGAATGCAGATTTGGAGCAAACAGAAGGAAGCAGGAAGAGAGAGTGATGCCCACCGACTACCAACAACCACCACTCTGGGATCAGAAGGAAGAATCATCACAACACCCAACGTCTTGGTTGTCAGGCTATGGGGCTAGTTTGGCCAATCAACAGCTCTATTGGGCAAAGAGGGCTAAAGGCCTTGTCAAACTACATCTCCCATGATTCAATGGCCTTGAGCCATGGCAGGTGCCCAACTCAACTCATTCTACAACGAAGATGAATCTCGAGTTTCGTGAGGCCTTCTTGGACAAACAATAATGGTGCCTCCTCAAACTACAACTCCCAGCATCCCACTGCACTGATCCAAGGCAGTTCAAGGGATATCAAACCGCATTCATTCCCCAATGGAGATGCACGCAATACCACCCCAAACTGCAGTTCCCAGGAGCAGTAGGCCTCAATGCTATTTGATCATGAGAGTTGTAGTTTAATGAGAGGTTGGATGCATCTTCATTGTAGAATGAATTATTATTATTATTACAAATAATGATAGGTTGGGTACATCTTCAATGTAGAATGAATTATTATTATTATTATTATTATTATTATTATTATTATTATTACAAATAATGAGAGGTTGGGTGCATCTCCATTGTACAGCATTGAAGAGACACACAATACCTCCCAAAAAACTACAACTCCCATACCACTGACCCAGGGCAGTTTAAAGGGGGATTAAACTGAGTTCATTCTCCAATGGAGATGCACACAATACCTCCCAAACTACAACTGTCAGGCTCAAATAGCATTGAAGACACACACACTACCTCCCAAACTACAACTCCCACAGCATTGAGCCAAGACAATTCAAGTAGAGTCGATCTGCATTGATTCTCCAATGGATATGCACACAATACCTCCCCAAACTAGAACTTCTGGGATCAAATGGCATTGAACACACACAATACCTCCCAAAACTACAACTCCCATAGCATTGAGCCAGGGTAATTTCAAAGGGGGATCAAACTGAATTCATTCTCCAATGGAGATGCACACAATACCTCCCAAAACTACAACTGTCAGGCTCAAATAGCATTGAAGACACACACAATACCTCCCCAAAAAACTACAACTCACATAGTACTGAGCCAGGGCAATGCAAGTTGAGTCTAGCTGCATTTATTCTCCTATGGAGATGCCCCCAATCTCTCCTGAAAAACTCAATGGAGATGCACCCAAGGGGGACCCCAAAGGAGCATTCCTTCTACACCCAGCCTCTCACTAAACTACAACTCCCAAGGACCAAATAGCATTCCAGAGGAGTCCATCCATTCTCCGGTATAGGGATGCGCCTTGAGCCTGCTTGCAAGCTGGAGCACACCCATTAGGATGTTGTTGTTGTTCCTCCTCCTCAACTGACACGCGAGTGTACACGCGTCACGTGTGAGCGCGCTCTCCTCCTCCTTGGCTGACACGCGAGTGTACACGCGTCACGTGTGAGTGCGCCTCTCCTCCCCCTCCTTGGCTGACATGCGAGTGTACACGCGTAACGTGTGAGCACGTTCTCCTCCCCCTCCTCGGCTGACACGCAAGTGTACACGCGTCATGTGTGAGCACGCTCTCCTCCTCCTCCTTGGCTGACACGCGAGTGAACACGTGTCACGTGTGAGCGCGCTCTCCTCCCCCTCCTCGGCTGACACGTGAGTGTACACGCGTCATGTGTGAGCGCGCCCTCCTCCTCCTCCTTGGCTGACACGCGAGTGTACACGAGTCACATGTGAGCGCGCTCTCCTCCCCCTCCTTGGCTGACACGCGAGTGTGCACGCGTCATGTGTGAGCGCGCCCTCCTCCTCCTCCTTGGCTGACACGCGAGTGTACACGAGTCACATGTGAGCGCGCTCTCCTCCCCCTCCTTGGCTGACACGCGAGTGTGCACGAGTCATGTGTGAGCGCGCCCTCCTCCTCCTCCTTGGCTGACACGTGAGTGTACACGCGTCACATGTGAGCGCGTTCTCCTCCTCCTCCTTGGCTGACACGCGAGTGTACACGCGTCACGTGTGAGCGCGCTCTCCTCCCCCTCCTTGGCTGACACGCGAGTGTGCACGCGTCACGTGTGAGCGCGCTCTCCTCCTCCTCCGGCTGACACGCGAGTGTACACGCGTCAGAGCGCACTGTCCTCCTCCTCCTTGTCTGACACATGAGTGTACACGCGTCATGTGTGAGCGCGCTCTCCTCCCCCTCCTTGGCTGACACGCGAGTGTACACGCGTCACGTGTGAGCGCGCTCTCCTCCTCCTCCTTGGCTGACACGCGAGTGTACACGCGTCACGTGTGAGCGCGCTCTCCTCCTCCTCCTCGGCTGACACACGAGTGTACACGTGTCACGTGTGAGCGTGCTCTATTCGCCTTCTCGGCTGACACGCGAGTGTACACGCGTCACGTGTGAGCGCGCTCTCTTCTCCTTCTCGGCTGACACGCGAGTGTACACGCGTCACGTGTGAAAGCTCTCTCCTCCCCCCTTGGCTGACACGCGTGTACACGCGTAACGTGTGAGCACGTTCTCCTCCCCCTCCTCGGCTGACACGCGGTGTGCACGCGTCACGTGTGAGCGCGCTCTCCTCCTCCTCCTTGCTGACACGCGAGTGTACACGCGTCACGTGTGAGCGCGCTCTCCTCCTCCTCCTCGGCTGACACACGAGTGTACATCACGTGTGAGCGCTCTCCTCCCCCCTCCTTGGCTGACACGCGAGTGTACACGCGTCACGTGTGAACGCTCTCTCCTCCCCCCTCCTTGGCTGACACGCGAGTGTACACGCGTCACGTGTGAGCGCGCTGACGCGGGACTTGCCTGAGGCTGAGCGAGCGGGTCTCTCCTTGAGCCTCTTCCTCCTCCTCCTCCTCTTCTTCCTCTTCCTCCTCCTCGGGGCCAGAAGAGCCTTGGCGCCCCCCCTCCTCGGACGGCGGACCAGGTCCACTTGGCCCACTGGACCGGCGAGAGGAGCTGCCAGGAGGCGCTGAACGCCATCGGGGCCACACGGCTTCAAAATGGAGCGGATCCGGCGCGGATGTGGTTCAGCCCAGCGCCATCCTTCCTCCTCCTCCTCCTCCTCTGACTCCGCCTTGCAAGGCAAGACAGGCAGGGACCCTCTGACTGATGCCCAAGGAGCCGGCCTGCCTCGGTCCCGCCTCCTCCGAACCCGCCTTTCGCCCGCCCAGCCGCATTCACACGTTAATTCGCCCAACGCGTGCAGCCAGGCAGCGGGGGCGGGGCCCGCTGCGTCAAAAGAGGGAAGGCAGGCCGGGATTGGCCGGGAGGGAGGGGCCCCCTTCAGACGTGAGGTGGCCCCCCGACACGTGACTCCTTCCCAGGCTGCATTTGACACCCTGGCAAGAATGGACTTCCACGCTACTGGAACTGCCGTTCTTCAATGGAAATACACCTTCTAATTGCATGGCTCTGGGGTATGGAGTCCTGGGAGTTGTAGTTTCACAAGGTCTGGTGGGTCCTCCTTGCAAACACGATAGCTCCCAGGATTCCATAGCACTGAGCCATGCAAATATAGGGTGTATCTACACACCACCGCAACTGCTATGAAATCCTGGGAGTTGTAGTTTCACAAGGTCTGGTGGGTCCTCCTTGCAAACACTATAGCTCCCAGGATTCCATAGCACTGAGCCATGCAAATATAGGGTGTATCTACAGACCACTGCAACTGCTATGAAATCCTGGGAGTTGTAGTTTCACAAGGTCTGGGGGGGTCTTTGCTAATTAGTGCTGGATCCTCGACAAACTACAGCTCCCATAGCATGGAGCCATGGAAATATTGGGAATCTTATCTACATTGAAGGATACCACTGTAACTTCTCTGGCATCCTGGGAGTTGTAGTTTCACAAGGTCTGGAGTCTTCTTTGCAAACATAGCACTGAGCCATGCAAATATAGGGTGTCTCTACACACCACCACAACTGCTATGAAATCCTGGGAGTTGTAGTTTGACATGGTATGGTGGGTCTTCTTTGCTAATTAGTGCTGGAGCCTCGACAAACTACAGCTCCCATAGCATGGAGCCATGCAAACATTTGGAGTTTATTTACATTGAAAGACACCACTATAACAACTATGGAGTCCTGGGAGTTGTAGTTTCACAAGGTCTGGAGTCTTCTTTGACACCACTATAGCTCCCAGGATTCCATAGCACTGAGCCATGCAAATATAGGGTGTCTCTACACACCGCCGCAACTGCTATGAAATCCTGGGAGTTGTAGTTTGACAAGGTCTAGGCAGGTCTTCTTTGCTAATTAGTGTTGGAGCCTCGACAAACTACAACTCCCATAGCATGGAGCCATGCAACTATTGGGAGTTTATCTACATTGAAGGATATCACTGTAACTTCTCTGGCATCCTGGGAGTTGTAGTTTCACATGGACTGGAGTCTTCTTTGCCACCACTATAGCTCCCAGGATTCCATAGCACTGAGCCATGCAAATATAGGGTATATCTACACGCCACAGCAATTGCTATGAAATCCTGGGAGTTGTAGTTCGACAAGGTCTAGGCGGTCTCTTTTTTGCTAATTAGTGCTCGAGCCTCGACAAACTACAGCTCCCATAGCATGGAGCCATGCAAACATTGGGAGATTATCTACATTAAAAGACACCACTATAACAACCATGGAGTCCTGGGAGTTGTAGTTTCACAAGGTCTGGGTCTGGAAGCAAAAAGCAAAGGAAGGAAGGAAAGAGGTAGAGAAGCAAGGAGAGAAAGAGGGAGGGAAGAAGGAAAGAGAAGGAAGAATGGAAGCAAAAAGCGAAGGAAGGAAGGAAAGAGGTAGAGAAGGAAGCAAGGAGAGAAAGGGAAGGAAAAGAAAAAAGGGGGAAGGAAAGAGATAGAGGAGGAAGGAAGGAGAGAAGGAAAGAAGAAAAAGGAAGGAAAGAGAGAGCGAAGAAAGAAGGGAAAGAAGGAGAGAAGGAGGGAAGGAAAGATGGAAGGATGGAAGCAAAAAGCGAAGGAAGGAAGAATAGAGGTAGAGAAGGAAGCAAGGAGAGAAGGAAGAAAAAAGGGGGAAGGAAAGAGGTAGAGAAGGAAGGAAGGAGAGAAGGAAAGAAGAAAAGGGGAGGAAAGAGAGAGCGAAGAAAGAAAAGAAAGGAGAGAAAGAGGGAGGGAGGGAAGGAAAGACAGAAGGAAGGATGGAAGCAAAAAGTGAAGAAAGGAAGGAAAGAGGTAGAGAAGCAAGGAGGGAAAGGGAAGGAAAAGAAAAAAGGGGGAAGGAAAGAGATAGAGGGAGGGAAGGAAAAAAGGAAAGACAGAAGGAAGGATGGAAGCAAAAAGCGAAGGAAGGAAGGAAAGAGATAGAGAAGGAAGGAGAGAAGGAAAGAAGAAAAAGGAAGGAAAGAGAGAGCGAAGAAAGAAGGGAAAGAAGGAGAGAAGGAGGGAAGGAAAGATGGAAGGATGGAAGCAAAAAGCGAAGGAAGGAAGAATAGAGGTAGAGAAGGAAGCAAGGAGAGAAGGGGAAGGAAAAGAAAAGGGGAGGAAGGAAAGAGGTAGAGAGGAAGGAAGGAGAGAAGGAAAGAAGAAAAGAGAAGGAAAGAGAGAGTGAAGAAAGAAGGGAAAGAAAGAGAGAAAGGAAGGTGAGAAGGAGAGAGAGAATGAAATAAGGAAGGAGAGAAGGAATGAAAGAGAGAAATAGGGAGGGAAGGAATGAAGGAAAAAGACAAGGAAGGATGGAACCAAAGAGCAAAGAAGGCGAGAAAAGAAACAGGTAGAGAAGGAAGGAAGAAGGAAGGAAGGAAGGGAGAAGGAGGGAGAGAAGAAGGGAAAGAAGGGAAGGAGAGAAGGAAGGAAAGAAAAAAGGGTAGAGAAGGAAGGAAGCAAGCAAGGAAGGAGAGAAGGAGGGAAAGAAAGAGGGAAGGAGAGAAAGAAGGAAAGAAAGAAGGGTAGAGAAGGAGAGAGGAGGAGAAAGAAGAAAGGAAAGGAAAGAAAGAAAGGTAGAGAAGGAAGGAAGGAGAGACTACTAGGTAGTATTAAGGATTCCTTTTATTCTCTGTGTCAAAAGTTAAGATCCTGTTGACTTAGATATATTTTCTCCTTTGTAGACCACAAAAAGGCAGAACACAGTAAAGAGCTAAGGGACTTGCAGGGTGAGATAATCAAAGCTTTTTAGTAGACTTTGTGGAGGCATCCAAAGTGGAGTAAAGCATAAAAGCTGGCTGTTTAAATCCCAGGTATGTTTTGCCAAACTAAAAAGTGAATAAATGAAGGAAAATGTATCTGGCAGGCGCTCTCAAGAATATCAAACAGGAACAAAGCGAATTAACGGCTGATAGAGTGTGAAAGGAATAGAGAATTGAAAGAAAAAAAATGAATGAAATAGATATCGCATACATAATTTAAATAATTATATAATTATTTAATGAAAGGATAGTAGTGTAATCAAAAATGCGAGTAATTATAAAATATTATAGACATAATTAAATCATGTAATAGAATTGTAATTAAAATAAAAGTTGTTATAATTAAGAGTAGAGTAGGAAGTTAATTATAAATTGAAATGAAGAAAATAGAATTAAATATAGTGGAATAAATAGAGGGAAAGATTGGATATAAATAGGGTGGAAGAAATAATTAAAGACAAAGTAAGTATGTAATCAAAATCTAATTATATTAATAATGGCTTGATATATTGTAATATATAATGTAAATAATAAAATGACAAGTGTACACACTGCTGGGATAATTAAAAATATTTATTGGATTGAAATAATTAAATACAGATAATTAATTATCTTCCTCCCTTAATTAAGTAAATATTTAATAAGTGGGAAGTGTGATATAATTGAATATTAAAATTGAATTTAATAGAGATGATGCTTCGAAGAATTTAAATATGGGAATAGGTATTGTAGGGAATTAAGACAGAGAAGATGTTAAGCAAAAGCTAATTAGTAATTAAGATATAAATATGAAGTTGAATTGATATAATTAAATACTAAAGAATGTTAATTGAATATAGTATAGCGTAATAAATAATTTAAATTATATAAATATTATTGAATTAATATGAATTAATACATAATTAATTATTGTATGCAAAAATTTAATAAAGTAATTAATATTTATGAGTAATTAATTATAGTAGAATGTGAATTAAATAAAGAAGTGGTGTTGATGAAATATAGTGAGTGATTAATTAATAGTAGAAATGAAATTAAGAAATGTGAATTAAGATATATGAAGAATAAGTTAAATAAATGATATTAAGAGGGAAGGATAGACGGAAGGATGGAAGCAAAAAGCGAAGAAAGGAAAAAAAAGAGGTAGAGAAGGAAGCAAGGAGAGAAGGAGAAGGAGAAGAAAAGGGGAGGAAGGAAAGAGGTAGAGAAGGAAGGAAGGAGAGAAGGAAAGAAGAAAAGGGAAGGAAGGAGAGAGGGAGCGAAGGAAGGAGGGAAAGAAAGAGCGAAAGAGGGAGGGAAGGTTGGCCACAGCAACGTGTGTCGTGGCGGCTACAGCTAGTAACTGTAATGAAAATAATACTAATAACAGAGTAAAATAATAAATAACTTTGATTCGAACATAAGCTGCGGGGAGCTTTTTCAGCCTAAAAAGGAGCCTGAAAAACTAGGCTTATACTCAAGTATATACAGTAGGCCTGTGCGATTCGTTTCGTTAATTCGTTAATTCGTTAATAATTCGTTAATTTTACCATTTCCGAAGCGATATTGAAACAAATCTCCAAACCCGGAAGGGTTTATAAATATCGAACCAGCAGCCCCCATAGTATTTACGAGCCTCCGCTCGTTTCGTTAATGGGGTGGAGGCTGCTGGAGTGCTGGTGCATGGGAGCCAATCCGGCGCTCCCAAGCAGTGCACCATGGGTCCGTGGCTGTCCCTTTTTGATTGGCCGGCGAGCCCTTTCAAAGCGGCTCCGCGCGGCCCGTAGCTTGGTGCAGAGGCGAGGGCGAGGGAGTTTGCATTGGGTTGGCTTGGCAATGGCTGCCTGCTAGCAACAACTGGGATTGGATTCATTCCTTGCTGCTGTGAGTGCTGCTTGCTTCATTTGCTGTCTCTTGCCTGTGTTTGGTCCACATTTGGGCCATTTTTTGGTTAATTGTCCATTTTAAAATATTTTTAATATTATTTTTTAATATTATTTTTTAATATTATTTTTTAATATTATTTTTAATATTATTTTTTAATATTATTTTTTAATATTATTCTTAAAAAATATTCTAAAAA